TACCTGAACACCAGCCTCGCGCCCAGGGCGCTTTTCCCTGGCTTTGGAGGTGGGGCGCTGGGAAACAAGCGCCCTGGGAACGAGGTTGCCTGAACGCGTGACATTTAAAATTTTGTCCAAACCCCAACCAACTTAAGCCTGGATCCCGTCTCCTAAGAAAACACTGATGTGGTTGATGTGCCGGTATAGATGTTAAAGCTGTGATAATTTAAGCAAACCGTTCTTCTGGTGAAGGTCTCGCCTTTTCTAGTAAACGAAGGCATATTAATTTGGCGAAAGTGAACCTTACAAGACCTGTCGAGAAAAGTAATATATCCCCTGAGATGCGCTTGCATGTCTCTTATAAAATATTGGCCTGTTTGTTCAAAAGATGGCTAGCACTATCCAACTAGCCTGGGACCAGGCTCCGCAGTGGCGGAATAAAGCAAAAAACGGGGTCCAGTAGGACACTGAAATAACGGCGGGCGAAGCGAGCCGAGCGGTATCCCGGTGAAGGGGAAAGGGCGGCGAAACCTGGAGACACGCCTTTGATGCCGCCGTTCCATGATACCAGATTCGGGTATCATGCTCTGATTGGTCAAATTTCTTAGGGAAATCAAGTGTACTATGCACTGGATAGAGGTTTTCCCAGTGGATAGCGTTGCCACCTTTTGAACCTGAAGACAGGAATTTGATGTAGTCAGTCCAGACGTTTTTGTCCTGGAGGTAAATGCGAGTTGTTGTTTTTAGGGCTCTTGTCTTACGCATTACGTACTCAATGCACACTAGAGGGAAACGAATGAAAACAAGCAAAGAAACAAATCTAACATCAAATGTGTTCAGGATTTATGAAAAACTCCAGTTTCATGTAACGAGGACACATTGTGTGCTAATAATCTACAAACGACTATTAGCAGAGAACTTGTGACAGATACCAAACGAAGACTGGCCTCGTTTGAAAATTATACTGATTTGGAGGATATTTTTCCCATGACTTCGTTAGCCATAATAGGGGAACAGTTATATTAAAGGTAGAACAATTCTCGGTAGCGCCTGTGTTGGTGAGCGATACTGTCTTCCATTTGTTAGGTTTATAACTTTGTTGGACGGTACAGTAGACATATTATAATTTGAAGCACTTGTTTGATTACTTTCCGCTCTAATACTTCTCTTTCTGGGACTATTTCTCTGTTTCGCTGAACCGCTTTCCCTCTCTCCGCCTTTTTTGTTCTCTTGTTGACCATGCTGGAGATCTCTGCCTAACGACCGCCACATTCTATGATAAACTTCTGATTCACTGTCGACATGCTTCCACTTTGTCCTCGAGTGAGAGATTTTCTCTTTCAAAATATTCTCTAGCGACGACGAAGCCCGGCTTTCTTGTTTGTACAATAGACTGCTTTGTCGGTATGCAGTGGCTCTCTGTAATGCAATTTCCGTTACTCGCAAATCGGAGAAGTTTGGTAAACTTTGTGAGTTACTTGTGTTATTGTCACTTGTTCTTATGAAAACCTTTGGAGTAGGAAGAAAGTCTTGCTGTAGTTCACCGATGACGTGGCTTAAAGACAAGGGCCTGTACTTCGTAAGATATGATTTTCTCACAGGCTGTGCACAGTGAATCGTGAACTTTATGACACTGTCAGCTCTGTCCATACTGTGATAAATCTCTTGTTTCATTTGACGCTCGCACAAAGGTGCCTCCGCTTTCCAAACTCGAGGGATTCTCTCTGACCCAGTTTTTCCGTGCCGTAACTCCTGTCGATAACTTCTGAAAAGTTAATTTTTCTCCCTCAATATTTACATGGGTGTGCTATTTATATTGGTCTTGTAAAATACGCGTTGCTTACTCCATTTAAAGCGTAAACAGAATTAAGTTTACAAGCTAGAACTGTGCTGTCAGTCTTGGATTAGCTTTAGGATATACGCGTTCAAAGCCAATTCCGTATACTGCAGCCGACTTAGTTGCAAATGGCGTTAATTATTTTTTAAGTGGTTGCACAACTTTAGCTGCTAATGGGCAGAATATTGAATGTATTGTTTCGCCGCCATTGTTAATTCAGTGTGGTATTTTAGCTAATTTGCAAACACAAAAAACCTGGCTATTCACAGTTCCTAATTACAACCTAGCAACCGTCTTTAATTACTGTGGAATCAGTATTAAAAGCTTTGGGACATGTAAGATAACATACTATTGATGATACAGGTTTGTTTTTTTCGGTGAGGGGCGAACTGTCAAAAGGAAGCTCAGTACTACAATGTTGAAATAAGCTGAATGCCTTTTTTTAATATGCATACCTTAAAGAGGACTGAGTTAGTCGACTTTATTTTGTGATATTTGCAATTATATTCAAATTGCTTTCAAATTAAATATGAATAGCCCACAATTTAAGATATATGGCGCCAAGAAAGAGCTCCCCTATGATGAAAGAGCTTAATCCCTCTTATGTACTCAGAAATAGAACTATGAAATTCATTCAGTTTTGGATCATGCGTATGTTGGCGGATCATGTGTATGACGGCATATCGGCGTTGTTTGCGACCAATCAGGAGAGACCTTACCAGCAGCTCCTATACAACTGGAACAAAATGGCCTAGCTCTGATTTTCCTCTCTTTTAGTTCCTATTAATCATTATTGTATTTATGTATTCTTTTTGAATAAGTGTGAATAAACTGAACTTGAACTTGACTGAACACAGGCTAAAGCAAAAGAAACCCGTCACTTTGTTATATGTTTTTGTGGACCTGACTACAAAATTCCTATCATTTTCTGAAATAAAAAAATGGTTTGAACGGCTCGTTGAAAACAAAGGATTACCGGCCCCCACTGTTGCATTGATGTTTACAATAACTATGGTTTGAGTGTCTTGACGCATTGTGTTTGAGAATGTTGCTTTTGTTATTCTTAACTTGGCTTTTAAAAATGTACTTTATACTTTAGAGACTCTAGGCAAAAACACCGATGGGCACACCGACCAAAGTGTCCGCCGACGGTCAACCGACATTGACAAACCCACGTGTGACCGACACAAACCACTGCAAACAGTAAACAGGTTATAAATATTACATTGGAAAAGTGTGTAGTGGCCAAAGGAGCGAAGCTTTCCGGTTGACCACTTCCACGCCGGTGCAGTTACTAATAGGAGGCTGTTTCAGTTGTAAAACTAGTTCTTAGTTATAAAGCTCGTACAATATATTTATCTAGATCTATGATCTATTATTACGCTGTGAGAGTATACAAAGATATATCTCTATAAATAAAGGTATATCTCTTGCCTAATATTAAGAAGCTTTTCAGGTGCCGGACAATGAAAAACTTAGAATTATTAGTATCCGATAAAAATACACTACAATTTTGTTAAACTGTGCAATTTTTGATAGTCCCAAGAGTTCTTTGAAAAAGGTTGAATAATAGAGACAACTAAATTTGATTTTCAAATTTAAATCATTGAATAACTGAGTACAACTTTTGGTTAGTTCAATCTGAATGTTCAACAGATGCTGGTAGTGGCGGGTACCTCTGAACAAAGCTGCAGCTTTCTTATGTATCGCAATGTATATATGTCTTGCCTAATTTTTCAAGAATAAACATTTTATGGAGAAAAGGTAACAAATAAAAAAAGTAGAAAAAAAGTATACTTCTCTCCCCGGCGGGGAATCGAATCCCGGTCTCCCGCGTGACAGGCGGGGATACTCACCACTATACTACCGAGGATCCCTCACTTATTACGTGCAAATATTATAAACAGTTTTAAATCAACGTCTCGGTTTGGTTGGTGAAATTCTCACCAATTGGAACACTGAATCCTCGCCAGAAAAAAAACAAAAAAACATCAAATGAGACATAAGCCAGGTATTAGTAAGCATTATAGTACTATGAGAAATTTCTACAATTTGATTTGCTTAGATACATGTGAAACTTACGAATCTTTTGTGGGTGATTTTTTTCTTCTTTTCTTTCTTTGAATTGACTCGACCTTAACTTTTGATTTATTGCCGTGATCAGATGAGACACTGTCTGCTCGCTTGAATTTTTTTGGTGGCTTAATTTTGCAGATATTGGGGGAGATAATCAGAAAAAAAAAACGATTCTGAACGTCTTGAGGGCACAAATTTTCGTTATTGTTCATGGATATACGGTACTATTCCGCGAATAAGAACCTACAGCCTACATTTTTCATGATTTTTCCAAGTCAGCTAAACGGAATACTGGTACGCTGGGGGGTACTTCGGATTTGCAAGTGACAGGGAGGATCGAATAATCCTTTGGGATTCAAACAACCCCCCCCCTCCCCCAAAAGAAAAAAAATCCCTGGACCAAAATTTAACCCTCAAAATGTCCCATACCGAATTTTCAAGCCATTAAAATTTTCAGAAAGCATTTTAAAAATGATATAGTCTGCGTTGCAGCCAGGCCACGCACTCGTCTAAACCATTAGTATAGTCCGACGTTCTATACAGAATGTTTAGAGCGTCTGCGACGCAGGCAATAAAATGATATAACACAAAAAGTACCTTCAAAAATCTCTTCTTCAATCAAGCTACCTAACAAAATAATTGCCAAAATTTTCCTACCCCAAAAATATCCCGAAATAGAAAATTTCAAACCCAAAAAAATCTTTCGATCATCACTGTCACTTGAAATCCGGAGTACCCCCTGGGGACTGGTAACTATTTAGTTCAAACAGGAGCCCTCCTAGAAAAAGTTTCATGCATGCTTTTCATGCTCTCTTCGCGCTAGACTTGCCACAAGTCGACTGCAAGATGAACACCAAGGGCGCGAGGGACGCTTGCCAAACGAGCGAAAGTGAGCAACTTACGTCACTTACCACCTACCTAACCACTCCATAAAAACCAAGCACCCCTAACTACCGGAAACGAGCTCGCGCTGTTACTAGGTTGAGCGCCAGCAAATGAACGACCAGCGGTGTCATAAACATCACGTGATCAAGGGGAGTGAGCAAGGATTAGCAAGGAAGTTATCTTCTTGATTTGTGAAGCAGCTTCTTTTCTTTTTTGCTTGTGAAGAAATGTGGAGAGCGGGGCTTGATACGAAAGGGATTTCAACTGGTGGGGATGATGATGATGACTGGGAAACTGATCCAGACTTTGTGGTGAGTCTTTAAACGGATGATTTGTTCCGTAGTGTTAGATTGTATTAAAGCACTTTCAGAATCAAATGGATCATCATTCAGCTAATGGGTGTGCAAGTAATTTAGGTTGGTCTGCGAATAATTATGAAAATTTACTTTTGCCCGGTTTTTGATCTTCTCAAGAATTGAGAAAGGTAAATACCGTAATGATGAACTACTTCGGCTCTTGGCCCTCGCTGCTTTTATTATACTTATTAACATGATACAGAGAAGCCTGTTAAATTAATATGTATTATGTTTTTACAAAATGTTGGGAAAAATGCTGCTTAAAACTATCAATGTCATTTTCATACTTCAAGTATTTATTGTTAGAACCCTGCAAATTGACTGCAAAGTTAATCTCAGAGTGAAAATAATAATTATTTAATTAATTTTTAACTTAAGGAATGAATTGGTAATAATTTAGTTAAGGCTAATGATTCAATAATCCGGTGATTAATGGGAATCAGGATTCAAAGAAAGTCAGTTTTACAGCTTGCCATTCTAGCAGCTTGCCATTCGGGCAAGCTGTACATGTACCTAGCATGACCAGCCCAAAATCATTTCGACTAGCCTCTCCCAAAATGTTTGATGAGCATTGATTGCAGTTCTTCTGTAATTTGAATACCTGAAAAAGCTTCACTTGCTCATTGGGCAAGTTAAGAACAGTGGATTCACTAGCCTAATAACAAAATCCACTAGCCCCAGGCTATAGGACACTACTTTCTTTGCATGTTACGGTATACTTGCTGTAGCCAGTAAATTTTGTGACTTATGAAACAAATAACATTGAGCTAATTGTATGATGCAAAGAATAGTATAACATGATTTTCATTGCACATAAGGGATTGGGAAAGGTGACTGAAAGGTTTTTCAGTTCTGGATCATTTTTCCCTGTTCTTAAAAAATAAATTGGAAGTGTCAGTTAAAGCCTTGTTTGTGCCTTGGTTGTGTGTGTGTGTTTTTCATCTCATCTTGCATCAAATTCTCAGATGTTTAACCCTTTTGCCGCTGAAGCTCACAAAACTGTCCATGTAGATCCTAGTCCTTTTTACCACTTGTGGCATCATCAGTTTGAACAGTCAAGGACAGCTTTGTCCGCTTACATGTGCAACGTGAAGAGATCTTTCAAACCATACCAAAATGAGCACGATTCAGTCAAGGACACTGGCAAAAAAGGCAAAAAACCACGTAACATTGACCTGAAAATTTCCATGAAAATCTTGTTCCACTAGAACCCACCTGCGTTTTATTTCATCTAACCCTAAGATCCTAAAAGCTTTCCCAAAAACATTTCCCACCATTAATGAAGCCTACTAAATGCCCAGCCAAAGAAAAAAAAGTAAGGCAAGAAAAGTGAAAGAAGAGGAGAGGAGAGGAGAGAAAGCGAAAAGTAAAGGTCAATACTGCTGTGTGCACTTTTAAACCCAATCTCAAAATTTTGCTTTCTGTGCATAGCTGAACTTCGCAAGTTAATATTTTTGCATCTGGACCAAAAGGCCGCAAAGTTTATGACCCGTGAACGGTTTTGTGGTAAGTTTTAGTTCTTTTTAGCAAGACAGTGACCAGAAAATCGCTCAACAAGCTTTAATCTCATTTTTATGCTAGATTTCCAGGGGCAAAAGGGGTTAAACAAGAAGTGTCTTGGTTTGGTGAGTCGTGGAAATATCTTCTTGCACCATGAAGGACAGAAATAGTTTTTACCCCGCTGATGCCTTATAAGTGGTTTATAGAGAAACTTACATGTGCAGTATAGTTGGATAAAATACCACCAGATTGGTACCCTGGGTACCAGAGGTTTTTCTCGCGTGCGGCGGGAATTTTCGGTGTTGGCTGAAGGCCGACACATTTTTGGCCGGAGGCCGAAGCCACGAGTGGTGAAGCCGCGAGAAAAACCTCTGGCACAGAGCGGTGCTTTTTACCGTCCCCGTTGACCTTTGAGCTTTTTTATCGGATTACATTTACGCCAATCAGATTGAAAGTCTCCAACTGTGATCATGTGAGCCGGCACGTGAAGAAATGTCTAAAGACCCACATTATCCTTAGCAAAACAAGTTCAAGTTTAAAATTCATTGCTTTAAGAGCAATCATGACTGGGTCACATCGCAGTTCTCCATAGATGATGTAGCTTCAGTTTAAGTTGCAATCCATTCTTCGAGATTTGGATTTAAAAATCACTGTCCATGAGAATTTAACATCCTGCTTAAAACGCTAACGAGCTGGGTCCAGCGTGACAAAACATTGCAGGAAACCGTCACTTTCACGGACAGAAAGAAAATCGCTTATAATTATTCAGATCCAGGAGGCACCTTGGAGAAATTAAACAACCTAAAACCCTTATTTAGCCACACTGAAGAGCTTAACATTTCAAAACAGGTCAAAGAAAATGCTCTTCCTAATCCATCAATACAAACTATTTCAAAACATGTTGTAATCGTTTGAAATAGGAAATTAGTAAAGCTTAAACCATATTGCTACAAAAGCTGAATTGGTGATGAAAGGTTTAAATACTCTACTTGTTTGCTCATAGCTTTTAACTTGTCCTTCTAGTACATTGCTTATCATGCTCTTTCAAAGCTTTCCAAAGCCGTCATCACAACACTTCTCGTGAGTACAACAACAGCAAAGTTGGAAATATTCTTTCACGTGCCGGTCTATTCTTGGCAACCAATTGTAGCGTCTGTTAGATTCAAAGTCCCTCAGGTGGTCATTAGGAGCCAATCAGCCGTCTTGTCCAAAATCTGGACCAACTGATTTAACCATGCTAACGATTGGATCGGCCCCATCAAAGCAATAGCGCTCTGCTCCAGAGACTTTTCACATGGGTCAGTATAAAGACTTGACCGAAACTGGAAACCGCGCTAGAAAAGTCTCTGGCACCCAGGGTACCAGATTAGAGATTTTCTTTTTTGCAGTGACACAATATGAGTCTTTTCATCTGCTTTTTATTCATTTATTTATTCATAAACTTCGCCAAGAGGCCTGGATCACTCACAGAGCAAGCTCCACTACGAGGTCCAGAGCCATGCATGTTTTGCGAAGAAAGCTTAGCAAAGATGAAATTTAGAGCTTTTCCGGAACGGATCGGTCCATGAATTCTATAGCATGAAAGCGTTGATTACTTTGGAATAAGTGGACACTTCAGTGGTCGGAAAAAAAAAGAAGAAGAATCTTAATTAGCAAAACTTCAAGTGTTGTTCGCAAAGGAGTCTTGTGATGAGCATGTGGTTTATTTTCGGCGATGACTGAAATGACGCGCCGTGTTCTTATCACATTTTTTATCTCTGGCAATGATGTGATTTCTCTTGAATTGAGGCCCTTGAATTTTCGTCTAATAATATTATTATACACGCGTATAGCCTGTGTATGGCCTCCAGCCATTGCCAACACACGTACTAAATCAATTCAGAAACAAATCATCAAATACAATATAAAAAGTACCGTGGATAAATTTAATGAGGAAGTGAAAAACCTTTAGCGAGTAAATTAATTAGCCTGCGAAAACAGTTGTTTCTCCTCTCTCTTCGCCGGTTGCGAAACGTCCCCAGCAGCAAAGAGTGAGGATAAACGACTGTTTTCACAAGCTAAGAATTAATCACCTCCTCGTTTCTTATCTAGTCTCCAAGCAAGCGAGACTAAACACTGATTTGAAGAGCGTTCTTGCTTCTTGTAGAATGATGTGTCTGAACAAGAACAAAGATGGGGAGCAAAGACAGTGGAGGGATCTGGACACCAGGAGTCTATAAGGTGAGTGTTAAGTGTTAAGCCTTACATTTTACTACCCAATACCTGTAACATAAAGTTAAGTTCATATTATACTTGACTCCGGATAACGCGAACCCTCGCTAACTCAAACCAAAATCCTTAGATTTCCCCTGGATTTACGTCATACTTCTACTGTAATTTTACCCTCGGTAACTCGAACCTTCAAAAACTCGAGCCTCCGCTAACTCGAAGTATTTTCTCTTCCCCTTCAGATCATTTCTATGTAGTTTTACCCTTGACAACTCAAACTACATTTATGTTTTAAGAGCATGACAAGTCCAAAAAAAGGAGTAACAATGTTGTGTACTCCGAAACATCATGAAAACAATGAATTTATTTCAAAACGACCATGTATTCTTTGTCTTTGCTTCTTTGTTAGTCCAGTTCAAATACAATGTTCAGCCCTGTTGTTTGTTATTTTTGCCATTTGCTTATTTCCTTATTTTCGGTTATTTACTTCAAGCTCTTGATAACTTGAACTCCCAATAATTCTAAATGTTTTTCATTTCCCAAGAAGGTTTGAGTTATCGGGAGTGGACTGTACATGTATGAGTCATCAAGTGTCATGAGAAACTCTGTTTGCCAACCCAGTACCATAATGACTGTATATGGACCTTTCCATCAGGGATAGTCAGTGATTATTACACATATTATTTTTGTTCCAGTATAAAGGATCTGCGACAAGGTGTCACTACAGACCATGCAAAACTGAAACATGGTAAGTTTACATCATGAAAGATTTTAATCATTGTGGATAAAGTATATAAAGGATTTAGTTTGTTGTGTGTCTCACAATTGTCACTTTGACATTATTGACTGCGATGTTTTGACCAAATACCACAGGTCTTCATCAGGCAATAGTGTGGATTTACTGAGTCAGACTACAGTCAAACCTCAGTAAACAGCCCTGGATGTAGTGGTCACCCTGTATATTACGGTCACTGGACAACTTCCCAAAATTTTCAGTTGCCCTATATTTTCTGCAAAGTTGACCTGAATGTAGCAGTCACCCTGTATATATCAGTCACCTTGCCATTTCTCAAGTGACCATTGTACACAGGTTTGACTGTATTTGTACCACTGTCGTTGTTAGTGATTGGTGTATCACGAACCTTGCTCATGGTTGGTGGGTTTCGATCCAAAGCATTGTTGGTATTGTCAGAGGAGGAAACTGATCCCTCAGAGGTCCACTGTGTTAGTGATTGGCTGTTACATGTATGTAATTGGCATGTTCAGAAATGGCCGAAGTTCGAGTTTGTGAAAGCCGTATATCCCTATCATGCTCCTTAATCTGTTCATGCATGCACCTTCCTGTTTCGCCAATGTATACTATCACCTGATGAGGACCTGCAGTATGCGGTCAAAACATCTTGATCAATATCAAAGTGACTATCATGAGACAAACAATAAACTAAACCCTTTATGGTAAGTTTAATGAGACATTCAGCCTGGCAGATATTTTCTGCTCTTTCTTATGATTGAGAAAATAAAATATCCTCAGGGGCAAGATATTCTCATGTATTAATGTGAATTAGTTGCTGTTTATCAGTAAAAAAATACTAAATCTTCCACACATAATGGTATAGAGGAGATAATAATATTACATTCTTGTTGCTGAATTATTCAAATACAGTACATGTAATATAACACAGAAACAAATAGCAATTTTCTTACCACAAAACTAGCACCATATGGTCGTTAGAGCCTCTTGTAAATAACCACCTCAGAAACAAATTGAGCACCATTAGGGCCCCCTGGGAAGGCTATCAACTTATTGATTGTGAAAGGTGACTTGTTTGGCAGGAAGAAAATTAACTAATTTAGGGTCTTCATCAATAGTCCATCTTTTTGTGCTAATCGATCTTCTTTTATTTCAGAGGAACAGGAGAGTGGGTATCCTTTGGAATCTTTTCAGGCTTAACACCAACATTGATTTCTAATAGACCAATTATTTTGAAATTAAAATGATTAAATACGTGTACTTGGCTTCGCGGCTCATGAAACAAAACAAATCATCTTGAGGGTCAGCAGTGAAAAATGCATTTATTTTGTCTTACTTTATTATAGAAAATGAATGCTCCATGAAAATTTAAAAGGTATTGGAAATTAACGTGACTTACATTGATGCAAATTTAGTGGGAAAGAGAGGGTAACATTTCGAAATGAAGAAATCAATGCGATGTTTACAAAGAAACAAATCTAGTTTAAAAGATAACAGGAACCAAGTTCAATGCACAATCCAAAATGGAAACTTTGTTCATGGTACTTTCCCTAAAATTAATGTACAAAGGGGGTCGAGTGAAGAAATCTTTGCACTTTGAAGTTTCTTCACAGCGGTTTCACTGTTACTGGCGGATCTCCACCTGATCAGATGCCCCTCTTTCGTAGGTGTCAAGAATGTCAGAAGTGGCCGAAGATTTGGGGCCAAAATAGTAGAAATTATTATTAAGGTTGTGGAAATTAACGGTCCACTTTAAATAATTAATGGTGCGGAATGAGCATTCACAAAAATAAACACAACTTAAAGTACCAGTAATGCAAATTTTTGAATTAATTTTAATTTCGTGAATTGTGTTAATTTCATATAGTAAGGTACATGTAATCCCCCAAGCCTTGGAGCCAAGTATGGTCAAATTTAAATAACATATCAAAATTGGTCTTTTGTCTGGGTCCAATTTATTGTTGTTGTGTACTGAAGGTTGATGAAGGTCTACCGTACAGAAATGCAAGCATATATTTACATGTAACAGAGCGACTACTGAGACTGAGAAAAGTGAATGACGAAAGGTTGGTACAAATATGTTATTCTGATGAAAAAAGCTGGGGTAAGCAGAAGGCAGAGGGTTGAAATGGGTTTTGTCAAGTAAACATTAAAAAGTAAAGGAATGAGTGTTTTTATTTTTAGTCCTTAATTAATATTTTAGCCCAAAAGCTTCTTATGGTTATGGTGGAAAGTTTGGTGTTCAGAAGGACAGAATGGACAAGGTATGTCAAACATCCATGTATTTATGGTTATTTTGATCTCATCCAGGATGTTATTCAGGCTTAACTTAAGATTCCGGGCCCATGCTTGACCTGAATGAGATCGGAAATGTTTAAAATGTTATATAAAGACTGGAAATCATTAACCCATGTTATATAAAGCAACTGTTATTATATGAACAATAAATGAAGTAGTAATAATATTTTTTTTTCAGAATGTAGTAGGATGGGAATATGAAGGAAAGGTCGACAAACATGCTTCACAAAAAGGTACAAGTTCTCAAATAATTAATGTTTATATCTTGCAAGCATTAATTATTGAAGAGGTATATGCTACCTGCAAAAAGTCACATTTTCAATTGAATTAGCTTTTATTTTTTTACATGTAAGTTAGGAAAGTGAGAATTTGATAATAATTATACAGATTTAGTCAAGGCTAAAAGAAATTAATTGAGAAATTTTCTTTCTCAAGTAATCTTTTTTTCACAACTTATGCCGTAACCAGAGAGCAAACTGAATTCCATGTTAAAAAATGGACCTGAGCCCACGATCAATTGAAAACCAAAACCTGTTCAGCAGATACATGTAACTTAATACCTGAACTTGTGATATAGTGGTGTGTGTACGGATGTACAATACGTATGTGTACGTGTGTGTATGGTGTATGGATGTACAATACCAGTTTAAACAGATAGAATATGCCTCGGACTCCTAGCTGGCTTGTAGTAAGTGTGCCATTTCACATCTGCTAACATGAAGGGGTGGATGTACAGACAATTTTGTCAGAACCAGAATTTCCCAGATTCATAGACAACCAAATTTCTTACCCATGGTGCTCTGCTGTACGCGTGAGAGCTCCGCTATTATTAATAAGCCTTAGGGCCTTTATTATTCAAATCACTTCTTCAAAATTTTATCAACTTTTTGGTGAATTACCATTATATGTTTGAATATTGCTGATAATCAAACTAGTTTCATTCAAAAGTAACAAAAATGAAAGTGGGAGTTGTCACAAAGGTCTGGGGGCAGGGGATTTCCACCTGCTACTATGAGCGTGTCACCTGGCTACTATGAGCATGTTCCCTGGCTAATTCTTTCTTGGGGTACAAAAGGAAATAGAAACTCCTAACTTTTCAGTCTTTGACCCAAAATTAATTGTAACTGATTACATACCCAGTAACTTGAAATCTTGAGTGCAATCCTTCTTTTAGTTAGTTTTATATTTTTTTTTACATGTCTTTTGGTATTTTCCATATTATTTTTGTTAAAATACCTCGTTCTGTTGTGTGACAGATTATTCAACTGGTTTTGGTGGCAAATATGGAGTGCAAAAGGATAGGGTTGATCAGGCAAGTACACTGTTGACCCAGCAGAGGTCAGCTGAACTCTCACACAAGTTTTAAGAATAATTTTATACAACATGAACTGGTACAGAGAATTCAGACTTGTTCTTAACCCATTCGCTCCTGGAGATTTTGCCGAAAAACGCGTTTTGAAGCTAGTCGAGCGGTTTTCTGGTCACCGTCGTGCTATAAAGGGCTAAAACTTACCACAAACCGGTTTACAGGTCGTACACTTGGCGGCCTTCTGATCCAGATGCAAAACATCAGCTTGCGAAGTTCGGGCATGCGCAGAAAGCAAAATTTCGAGATAGTTTTTGGGTTTAAAAGTGACACAGCAGTCTTGACTTTTACTTTTCGCTTTTTCTCCTCCCTTCTTTTTTCGCTTTTCTTGCCTCATTTTTTTTTCTCTTGCTGGGCATTTAGTAGGCTTCATTTTGGTGGGAAGAGTTTTTAGGAAAGCTTTTAGGATCTTAGGATTAGGTGAAAGGAAAGGTAGGTGGGCAATGGAACAAGATTTTCATGGAGATTTTCAGGTCAATGTCACGTGGTTTTTTGCTTCTTTCTCCGGTGTCCTTGACTGAATTGTGCTCATTCTGGTATGGTTTGAAAGATCTCTTCACTCTACACAAGTTAGCGAAGAAAGTTGTCCTTGACCGTTAAAACTGATGGCGTCACAAAGGGTAGAAAGGACCTGGATCGGCACGGGCGGTTCAGGGGCGAATGGGTTAATCAAAAAACCTAAAAATGGCCTTTTACCAACTTCTTCGCCTGATTTTACATGAAATAGACAGATTTGGTTGTTTTATGCTGAAAAGTGGATTTTTTTTCAAAAAGCTTGGCACTTTGCTTAAAACAGGTGTCACTATGTTTTTGTAGTGTTTTTATTTTTTTGTGCCAGGTTAATAACTACAAAAGGCGGGCTTTGTACTTATTAATCGTAAAGAGCGGTACTCTGTAGTTATTAATCGTAAAGGGCGTCATTTACGATTAATAATTATGTCAAACATAGTTAATAATCGTGAAATTCACGATTAATAACTACGTTTGACAGGCTTCGTAGTTAATAATCGTGAAATTTACGATTATTAACTATGTTTGGCACGCTTTGTACTTATTAATCGTAAGGTTGTCAATTTCTCCAGTAAAGCTAACTCAAAAGCTAACGGCCGCCATTACAGAAAAGAAAACAAACTCAAAGTCTTTTTTTCAAGGTCGCTGTTTTCACAAAAATACATTGCAGAAAACTTTTTGAGAGGTCAAAGTTTCCATTCAGCTTCTTTTTTGATCGATTTTTTGTCTAAGAAAGCTAGTTTCTTTCGCTCTATTTTTGCGATAGACTAACATCGCGATAGGGCGGACTCGGTGAGTTTGTTGTGCACGAAATTATGATAACCGATATAACAAGTGAAATGTTAATCCACGTTTTTCAGTTTAAATTACTCTTCCTTTGAATTTTAACTTGGAGAGAGACATCTTAATCCTTCCCACATGTAACAACAATGAATTAGTGCAGAATAACTCTCTTTTTCTTGCTTAAATCTTTGGCAATTTGCGTTGTTGGTAAACACTGGCGTGAATTACACTTGCCGTGAGAAATTTTATTATTAATGTTGACCACATTCCTGGACAAAGTAATGGTTTTCAATTTTAGTTCAACTCAAAAGCTTTCACTATATTTTTAATGCCAGGGGGACAGCTTTGTTTCTGGAATTTTTCCTTCCTCACCGAAAGCGGTCCATATATTATGGCAGGGTTCAAGAAACCTGAAGAAGCAGTCCGTGTTCAGAGCAATTGCAGCATCAACAAATTATGTGTTGACATTCAGCCAGAAAAGAGAAAAGCGACCGTGTTCTTTTTTGAAACAAACGGGTGAGATACCTCTCTAGACTCAAAATCTGAAAATAAATATCGATCAGATTCCTCACGAGCTTGCCTTTTTTTTGTCTGTAATAACACGAGCGCAAGCGGCAATTTTATCTGTCTTTCATCTCATGGTAAAATACTAGCTGAAAGCTTCCAATTTGATTGGAAAGAGAACATTTTCTACAAACTATAGAGAAATATATTCAACCAGACTGCATGACGACAAACCAACCCAGTCATTTGAACCGAATTATTAAAGTGCCATGATCAGATCCTGAGAAGAGCTCATTCACGCAATTGAAACCTGAGAACACGACTCACAGAGTCATGGAGAAAATTACCTTCAGCATTTTCCAGAACGAAAACTTGAATTAAAAAAATATATTTTCGAAAAACAGATTCATATTCACGGCCAGACAAAACTGTAATAATACGGATTTCTTAGAAGAGAGCTTTTATACGCACTGTACTGAGCGTTGAAAAGTTTACTTACTACAGTTTGAAATTTGATAGCATACAGTCTGATCTGGAAAAAAACACTTTAATATTGTCTGTGGGACAAAAATTCACATCATTTTAAGTAAAATCTGTTCTGTTATTGTTTAATATTTGACTCACTAAACCGTTCAGAAATGCTTTTAGAAAACAGTACTTGTGCGTTTTGAGAACAACTTTCACTTATGCAGAAAAATATTATCCCCGGCCGCGTGGCATGAAAGATCAATTTTTTCACTGCCGTTCGTTCGCAAAAAGTGATTTTCACAATTATTAACTATGTTTGACATAATTATTAATCGTAAATGACGTCCTTTATGATTAATAACTACAAAGTACCGCTCTTTACGATTAATAAGTACAAAGCCCGCCTTTTGTAGTTATTAACCTGGCAGATTTCACTGTAAGAAAATAAAAACACTACAAAAAAATAGTGACACCTGTTTTAACCCATTCGCTCCTGGAGATTTTGCCGAAAAACGCGTTTTGAAGCTAGTCGAGTGGTTTTCTGGTCCCTGTCGTGCTATAAAGGGCTAAAACTTACCACAAACCGGTTTACAGGTCGTACACTTAGCGGCCTTCTGATCCAGATGCAAAACATCAGCTTACGAAGTTCGGGCATGCGCAGAAAGCAAAATTTCAAGATAGTTTTTGGGTTTAAAAGTGACACAGCAGTCTTGACTTTTACTTTTCGCTTTTTCTCCTCCCTTCTTTTTTCGCTTTTCTTGCCTCATTTTTTTTTTCTCTTGCTGGGCATTTAGTAGGCTTCATTTTGGTGGGAAGAGTTTTTAGAAAAACTTTTAGGATCTTAGGATTAGGTGAAAGGAAAGGTAGGTGGGCAATGGAACAAGATTTTCATGGAGATTTTCAGGTCAATGTCACGTGGTTTTTTTGCTTCTTTCTCCGGTGTCCTTGACTGAATTGTGCTCATTCTGGTATGGTTTGAAAGATCTCTTCACTCTACACAAGTTAGCGAAGAAAGTTGTCCTTGACCGTTAAAACTGATGACGTCACAAAGGGTAGAAAGGACCTGGATCGGCACGGGCGGTTACAGGCGGTTCAGGGGCGAATGGGTTAAAGCAACAAATAATATGAGGAAATCATGTGGGATTTCCAGGAACACATTTTATATATAGCAAATAAATTTATAAATTTATGTGATTTCTGTAGAGCAGATTTTGCATGGAACACTTGCTGAGTATTATGCAGTTAGAAATTGTCAGAAATTGTGGATTATATTTCCAAGCTACATGTACTTCCCAGTAGTCATTTACTTTTTCATTTTATGTCTTTTTGAATAATTATTCTTTATACACTGTACAGGTAGCAGTTGGCTTTGAGTATGAAGGGAAAACTGAAAAGCATGAGTCACAAAAAGGTTGGAAATTTTGTTGTCCTCGTCTTCAAAATAATTATGTAACTTTTCTAACAATCGTAACTAAAATGTTGATCCTCAATTTAGTCCTAATGGTTTTTAAACAGGCAGGTTATGAGGTACAAAACTCAGTCAGGTCACTTCATTTACATACTTACCAGACAATCATTTCTATTGTTTTCCCTACATGTAAATTTATTTAGATGTTATAATTCACAAAGGTTTCCCATCACTGTAAATGTGTAAAAAAATAAATATTAAATAAATGAAATAACAATAAATAAATAATAATCATGGAAACTTTATTTGTGTTTTTGAACGTAAAAGTGTAAATCTTGCTATGTATAGGTAATTTGCAATTGGCTGCTTGAGATTGAATTATTCCAAAACAAACAAACCAAAAAAAAACACACCAAAAAAGTCAAAATTGCATAAAGTCTGGGCTATCCCAATTCCTATTTGTACAACTTAAGATGTAATAAATTATGTTTCTCTAATGGCTGTATTTATCATTTTTTTGATTATATAATGTTGCTGCTCTTTGTCAAAGCCAATGTCATTCATCATGTCTAAGAACATGGAGCATTCGTTGGAGAAAGCATCAAGGGAGCTCATGGAGAGAGTCACAAATTTCACACATCTGTAATTTCTACTCATTTCTCTGATCAAGTTCTGATATTTTTCTTTTTTACACACTGCATTATTAAGGGTTGACTTGAAAACAACTGTTAATTCTAGAACATATAGGCACTTTGACTGGATTAGGTAAAGAATAATAATAATAACAATAGTAATAAAAATGATGTATAAAATCAATGAGGGAGATCAAAATAATTAGTAACAGCAGATTTAAATGCATCCACTGAAGGCTGATCTAATAAAAAGTAAAGTGTTCCATTCTTTTAGAGTTCTAGTCAAAAAAAATGTACTTTTAGGTATTGCTTTTACTACCAATCAGAATGTTTAAATGAGCCAATCTGGTCTGAGTTTCGTACCAGCACTTTTTAAACCTTAGGCCCCAGTTGTTCAAAAGCTGGATAGCGTTATCCATCAGCTAAATCTCTATCCAGTGGATTAGTATTGGGGGAACCAATTGCACTATTCAGTAGATAGAGATTTATCTGGTGGATAGCGCTATCCACCTTTTGAGCAACTGGGGCCTGGACTTTTTTATTGCATGTGAGTTTAACTCTTGGATTTATGAGTTCTTTCTTGAAACTCCTGGTATTGAATAATAAGCTTTCTTGATTCAATTACCCATTATTGAAGTAATCAAGTTAAAAAGTGAAAATTTGAAATTACCTTATTACCATTTAAAAGTATAGCTTAGCTTGATTAATTTCTTCTATCTACAGCTATGTTAAAATCAGTGTTATTTTATCTTTATAAAATAGAACAGTTCCACAGAGAACAAATTTTTCTATGTAATTTGTTCTTTTTGCTTAATAGTGTTGATGAAATGTTCCCTCCACTTTAAACAGACTATTCAAAAGGCTTTGGTGGTAAATATGGAGTTCAGAAGGACAGAGTTGATCAGGTACAATTTATACTGTATGTATTAACTCTGTCCTAATGATTTAAAGGTATATTTGAGTTATCAATTACAGTCGACTCTCGTCCTGTGAACACCTGCTATTACGGACACCCCCCATAAAACGGACGGTAGCTAAATCCCTGGAAAAAACAAATTACAGGTACAGATGTTTGACTGAAATAAACTCCTGCTATTAGGGACTCACACTAAAGAGGACACTAACTTGAGGTCCCTACAGTGCGTGCAATAAAGGGAGTTGACTATACTTAAGTATTGGTATAAGGTAAGGTGAAGGTAAACGCGTACTCTCGCCAAAGTCCCAAAATGGCTGAAGCTTATCCCAGTTTCATTAGCATGAAGCACCTAGGAGTATTGCTGCTCCTCCCTGGACGGGATGCTTGTTCATCTCAGGGTTACCCCCCAGCAATATGTTGTCGGTACCTATTTATATACCTGGGTGAATAATGACAAAGTGGAGTAAAGTTCCTTGTCTAAGGAAACAGTGTGATAGGCAAGGCTTGAACTGCGGACCTCCAGATCTGGAGTTCGAGGTGTTAACCACTCAGCCTCTCACGCCTCCACAAGTATTGATATACAGTTGTATTTATTCACTTCACATATTAAGCATACATATAGTGGTGAGCAGATCTCATAGATGATTTGAGGTGATTTTTATTTAATATTAAATGCTTTTACTTCAGAACGGTTTTGAGATACCATCTTTATTGCCTGAGTATGTATGATCTTGCTGATTTGAGGTGACTTTATATATTACTTTTGTGCCTTTAGGCTGCAGTAGGATGGGAATATGAGGGAAAAACTGCTGCACATGTTTCTCAAAAAGGTTTGTTACTTAATGTGTTTATGCGGGTGTCCATTTTTTTTATTTTCTTAAATGAGTTGCTACACTTCAGAAGTTTGTGAACATATGAGTTTAACCAACTGCATCACTTAAGTGGAAGGTGGGTTCCTGGGATACCCAGGGGCTTCCACTGTGGCCAGCCAGCCCCTAGATAAAACACTGCCCCCATGGCTGGCAAATCCCCACAACCCAGCCATGAGCCCCCATTCCAGGCACCTGTCACACTGATGAAACAGTGGAAGGAAGAAAAATGGGGGATGTGAGGAGGGGAAGATGCGAAATGAAACCACTCCACAGACCACTGCACAAATGCTCGACAAAGAACTCACAGATCCTAGCAGTGTTCAAAACTACCACATACATGTACCATGTGAGCCTGCACTTATGGGATTGACTGCTGGATGCCCGCTAAGCTCATAGACTGCTTGACTGCTAAGCTCGTGGACCATTTTACTGCTAAGCTTGCCAACCGCTTGACCGCTAAGCTTGTGGACCGCTTGACAACTAAGCTCAGGTGGTTAACTTAGTTAAATTACATTTAACCGAATTATAATTATAAGACCTTTGGACATAAAATGCAGCTTAAAGGTGTTCAAGTACTTACATCAGAAGTCCATTAGGAAAAAAATGCTGAGTCATGGTAACCTCTTCCCATCAAGAATATACCTGCCAACTCTCATGCATTATGCGTGAGTCTCACGCCAGTGGACTATTAAAGAAATTGATCTTGCGCATCAAGGAAAATTTCTCACGCTTGACTCACAAATCTGGACACATTGTTCTTTAACACATGATGACTTTGTGTCTTTTTTTGTGTTCTAACGAAATCAAAGCACACTAAAATTGTGGTCTGTTTAGTAGCTTAGGAAGTGCTCAAATGTCTTCAGAACATCTGCAGACATTAAATTTTTTGGCACTGTTTGGAAGTCTTTGGAAATTCGTTGGAAATCTTCAGAAGGTGCCGAGATGTTTCCGGAAATCTCGGTCATGACAAGGTGAAAATCTCAGGCATTGACTCAGAAAAAGTTGGTGCAGTGTAGGTATGGAGGTTTTAAAACCTCCAAAAAAACCTGTCACCTGCATGAATACAGATGGTGTTAGTAATGTGCAGACCACATGACTGTGTGATCAGAAAAAGACCATGCCAGGACAATTTCTTTCCTCGTGCAATTATAAACCCTTTGTAATAAGTTAAAATTAATTTTTTAACGTAGTGCTAAAAAAACTATTAACTTGCATTAAAGTGTTGACAGCTTTTTTGTCTTCATTTTGTGTTTTCTGTAGATTACTCCAAAGGCTTTGGTGGCAAGTATGGAGTTCAGAAAGACAGGGTTGATAAGGTGACATAACATTATGTAGAATTTTTGCACTATCACAGTCATTAAAAGAGTAGGTGACAGGATTTTACATGCTTCCCCAAAAAATAAGAAAAGTGTGTGTGCATCAGTCACAGTGTTAATCCATTGATACTATACATTAAAGTGCTTTTGACTATGTAATGGAAGATGGTCAAAAGAAATTTGACAGATTACATGACCGAAATATATTTTTGCAGGCAACATATAAAAGGAGCCTGCAATCCTTTGCACTTCCCTTAATAATGAATGGAATGCGTAAAACACAATCTGATCATGTGTGTTTGCATCTCCTATTGCTGATACTCTCGTGATCACGCAGGTTTGACCTTCTGTCACTTAAAATTTACACAAAGCACCAGCATTGTGGCAAGAGCAATCTGCCCTTGATTATAAGCCTGAAACTTTCCTGCACTTTCTAACCTTTGGCAGGGTTGTCACTAAGATTTCAAGTTGCCGGGTAAATACAACAAGTAGGCGGAGAATCAAATGGCTAGGGATTTCTTTTGGTTCTATTTTTCTTCTATTTTCCGATGAAAGTAGCCGGGGGCTACTCTCTTAGTAGCCGGGGAAAATCCCCGGCCCCCGGCTCTTAATGACAACCCTGCTTTGGTCATTACCACTTTTTATGGTTATTAATATTAGCAGTGAAGTTGTGCCTGGGATGGTAAGTTCCCCTTCCTAAAATGTTTTACTTTAGCTTGTTGATGTAGGGGAGGATTGATATTTTGGTATTAAAACAGGAGTCACATAGGGCTTTTTCCACACACCCCTTCAGTTATAGTGTTGAATGGTATTATTGTTGCATGTTGTTATTATTTTTTAGGCTGCTGTTGGTTGGGAGTATGAAGGGAAAACAGAAAAGCACGAATCACAACTCGGTATGCACAATAAGTTAGCGCTTCCTAAGATTGATCATTCCAGTGCAGGGCTCGAAGTTAACTTTTTACTGCACCTGCAAAGTTTTACTAGCAAGATTTTTTTCCACTAGCAAACTGGTGAGACCACTAGCAAATTCTTTCCCTTTGTTTGGGAGACATGGATGATTCTAACTCGCAAACGTTTGCTAGTGGATATTTTTCTCTCTCACCGATTATCAAAGTCACTCGCATTTTGCAAGTTTGCCACCATTAATTTCGAGCCCTGCAGTCAAGTAAAACAATACAGATACAAGACAAAACAACACAGACTCACAAACAAGGCATGGCCTTGTCTTAATAAATTTCAAGAACGTATAATAATATTAATTTAACCTGCCGACTACATGTATTTATGGCTGCAGTAGAGGTAGAAAAATTGATTGCAGCGTGGAAAGTAGCAGGTTTGATCTTTGGGGCCTGACCTTTACTCAAGATCCTAAAATCTTAAATGATAGAAGAGGAGAAAGTGTTGGCCTCGCAATTTCAGAGGTTGGGTGACCACATAAATGATGATTTCTTCTCTGGTAGGGGATGTGAAAACACCGTCTTACGGTATAGTGGTCACCATTCCTGGCATGCACTGAAGTATGTCCGGAAAAAGGTGTAAGGATGGGTACATGTTTGTGCAAGAGCATTAATGTCTGTAGCAGCAGCTACATGCTACATGTTTGTGCAATGTTTGTAGAAATAGCTACATTTTGAACCGTTGTGTTTTTCCTTAAACAGATTACTCTAAAGGGTTTGGAGGCAAATATGGTGTCCAGAAAGAAAGGGTTGATCAGGTACTTTTGATGTCCATGTATGTGCACTCTTTTGAAACTTGTTATGCCAAGTGCATATTAATTTATGACCAGAACATTTATTGATTGATAAATATTTTTGTGCAGGCAGCAGTTGGTTATGACTATGAGGGGAAAACAGAAAAACATGAATCTCAAAAAGGTAGCTAAATAGTGCTTTTGCTGTCTGCTAAACTGAGGATGATTTGAAGTGAGCAAAGTGACTGATGTAGCACATCGTACTTGGATGTCTTTTTTATTACTTGAAATACAGTACTGTATTAAGCAGAATATTAATTCTGTTTTCTCAAATAGATTACTCTAAAGGCTTTGGAGGAAAGTATGGAGTGCAAAAGGAAAGAGTAGATCAGGCATGTTAAGTATTGTTTGTTTAATGATAGTAATTATTCAGGGATAATTGTCTTCCTAGAGTTTGAAAGAAAGTCATGACCAAACTTGTCTGATACTTTATTGGCATATGCAAGTTTCTTGTACTATTCTTAGTTATATATAGTTTTCATTTTATTTTTTGACAGTCTGCAGTTGGATATGATTATGAAGGCAAGACCGAAGCACATGCCTCTCAGAAAGGTTGGTAAATTATTTTGCTCTCAATTAAAGTTGGTACTTGTTCAGGTCTAGGCTTAATTTTTACCCTATGGTTGCAGTGAAGAACTAAAGAAAATAATGATGAGTTTCTTTTATTTACAGTTATCTGCATAGGCAGTTTGAATTAACTGTGGGAACCAACCCTTTATTAATATGGGGCAAAATGTCGGACATAATGCCCTAACTGAAAAATTAATTTGTCTAAGAGTAAAATTACAACTCTACATGCAATTCATATTGTTATGGTAAGTCATCTCTCTGCGCATCAAACTAGGCGCCAACAAATAGATCACGCAATTAGCTTTGTACACGATGATTGGCCCTAAACAAAAAACACCCATTAAGCTAATGGCTTAATGACATTTTTGTGAAGGGCTAATTTCCTGGTTGTTTGTCTTATCTGCATCTGGGATGGAGATAGGGAAATAGTTAAAATTCCTTGCAGGCTCAAATCATGCGATCAATGCTTTGTGATTCATTGTTTGTTCAGATAGCAACGCAGGAACATCGTCAGTCTTTGACTCAATAAGGTTACAATGAAATGATTATGTAAAGGACAAAAAATAAACTTTTATATGCTGTATAGAGATCGGACTCGTGTGCATAGTTTTACACTTAATTTGTTCCAAAATTGCCCCTTCAGTGATCTTTGAGCTTGTCTCTGAAACACCCAAGGCGCTCGTCTTGCGAAAAATGCAAGAGAACTGAAACTAACTTTCAAGTTCAAGTAGTCCATGTGTTCAATAATAACGATCTATCAATTAGCATTAAGCATATGTGGGATAACTGCTGTTTCTGTTTTTATGGATTGTCACCGGCGCTATTTTTGCAAGTTCACTTTATGGTTTCTTGATTGACCTGTTTCAGAAGTTACGTGTACAGTACTGCTGTTACAGTTTGTTTTAGGCAGTTGCTTGAGGGTTCAGTTATTTTGTTGTAGATTATTCGAAAGGTTTTGGTGGCAAGTATGGTGTGCAAAAGGATAGACAAGATGCTGTAAGTATTGATAGAGCATAACAAAAATCGTATCCATGAGTTAACTGTTGCTTTAGTGAAAATGTGGTTTTCCTCCTCTTGCGAAGGCAAAATGTTGCTTGATCAAACCTTGTCCATTTGAATTGTCTGTACTTTGAAAATTGTGAGTTGAAAGCCTGAGGGAAGAGACTACTGGGCGCCTTATTAGAGCTTGGCTGCTTAAGTAAGGGTTACAAAAACAAAGTCGCACATAGCATTTTACCTTAGGAAGCACATAACCGTGTTCACGTTATAAACCTGTGACCAGTGAATACCATTTGTTGGAATTTGGATATGCTGGGTTTTATGAAGGAGGGAAACCGGAGCCGGAGACTTCAGTACAAAACTACTGTCTTGAGACACTTATTCATGTTGTTCCATTCATTTCTACTTATTTTTTGGTCTTTAGGCTGCTGGTAGTTATGATGAGATGCAAGAAGTGAAGTCAACATACCACACTGCAAAACCTCGTGCAGGTAAGATTCGTAGTCCCACTAAATATTTAGTGGAACACGAGACAGGTTTAATCTCGGTTGAATATTGTTCAAACAAATCTGGTCAAGCAGTCTCGACCAGACTTAAAGGGGCTAGGTTACGCTATTTGCTGTCATTGTAAAGAAGTCGTAAAACGTGTCTTCTCATCTATTGAATTCTGAAGATAGTGGTCCAGTTTTGTTGTATGCCTGCAAACATTACCCACCCCCCCCCCCCAAAAAAAAAAAAAAAAAAAATTCTTATGGTAAATTTTCCCTGATAAAATTAATTTGAGGACCTCTTCATACGCTACAGGAGGATTTTGTGTTTGAAGACGATAAGGTACCAAGTAATGACGTCGGCATATGACATAAAACCACAGGTAGCCCAAGCTCGAAATATGGGCATCGGCGAGCATCGGCATTGTTGCGTAACATTCAAAATATAAGGATTTGTATGGGAAAAAAAAACCTATCGTTTCTGTAACCTACGAAAATTAAAGAATTTCAATAAAAAACAGCTTACCTTACTTAAAATATGTGTTACGTCTCTCCTGTGTGGTCCACGGGCCGATTTATGGCCGTTTTATGGGTTTTTATGTAAACGGTTTTCTCTCTATATAAAGGTTTACCTAAATTCTTTCATTTTCGTAGGTTACAGAAACGATAGGTTTTTTTCCCGTACAAATCCTTATATTTTGAATGTTACGCAACAATGCCGATGCTCGAGGATGTTCATATTTCGAGCTTGGGCTACCTGTGATAAAACAGTAATGTCCTCGTGACATAGCATAGCCCCTTTAAGTTCCCAAGAAAAATCAAACCTGTGGCTTCCTAATTTGTAGTAGTAAGCGGCTTAAAGTGAGTATTCGGCCTTCCTCAGGTGTTGGGAGTGGGGAGATTTTAAAAGGTGAAAAGGGGGGAGGAGGAGAGACAGGAATTGGCATATGACAGTTTATGGTGGTGACAACACATGCCCGAAAATGTTGTGAAGGGGCATTTGTGTTAGGCTTTTCACCCCTTGCACTTTCTGCCCCTCTCCCTATTTGCCCTTTCTGTTGTGGGGAAAAAGGCAGTTTACTTGTTTTCGGGCATGTCGTTTTGACCAGTAGCATTGCGTTTTTTTTACCTTCGGGGAGAGGGAGAGTAAGGTTAGCCTCATGGAGTTTGTTTTTTGTTTCTGGTTTCCATCCTTGGCAGGTTCTGGTGCAGCAGGCAATTTGAAATCTAAGTTTGAAAACTTGGCAAAGGAACAAGAAGAGGTTAGATATTTTTTAGATGAAAGTTTATTGATGCCTACTTTATTGCGTAGAACAATGAAAGTTATGTAACTGTCTTGTGATTTAAAAATGTGACACAGGAAAATAGAAGACGAGCAGAAGACGAGAAGGCAAGGCGACAGGCCAGAGAACAAAGAGAGAAAGAAATCAATGAGAAAAGACATGCAGAAGTAAGTGTATGCCCATATATATTTTCTGTTAAATGGAACGCTCTTTTACTGAGTAATTTCTAATTCAGTAGCCGGCGAAAACTAGCGAAATGGCCTTAGCGGCGAAGAGCGAGGAGAAACAGCTGTTTTTGCAGGATAGTTACCAGCCGCTGGTCGAGAAATGAGCCTGCGCTCCTCCCCTGAGGGAGTGGCGGAATCGAGCCTACGTTTAATTTGAACGAAGAACAACCATGGGCAGGTTGTTCAAAGCTGGGTCAAGACAACCGCGGGGTTTTTTGCGAAATGTGACTCCAGATATGAAAGCTTAAAAAGTAAATTACGTTTAATTCATTTTGCTTACAATTTGATGCCCTTGAAAGGATAGAGAAAATTATCCGAGAAAATGCTTGTGAACAAAAGAAAAATAAACCTGGGTTAAAATTTAACCCCGGCTTAGTGCTATTCGGCCTTCGAACAACTGGGCCATCACATGTCCTAAAAATACCTCGTAAATGCTACATGTATGTGCTTTGATTGATGCAAAGCTTGCGTTATATTGACCTCACATGAAATTCTTTATGCTGCTTACAGACTTCGAACGTGGGCTATTGAATCCTTTGAAATTCAACACATCTAGCATTTTGATTAGTTCTGTATTGTGCAGAACCTATCAAGGTTCCCATAAATTTTCGGACTGCGTTCATTACTGTAAGCGTATGTAATGACTTTTACAGCAGGAAGCACGTGACAGAGAGGAACGCGAGGAAGAAGCTCGCCGTGAAGCAGAAGAGGAAGCCAGACGACAGGAAGAAGCTGAACAGCAGCAACCACAAGAAGAAGCTGAACCAGAAGAGTTTTATGAACAATTATCTGAAGAACAGGCAACCCATGAAGAACCTACAGAGTTGTACGAAGAAGTCACTCAAACACAGGACACTCAGGAAGAGCTGGTAAATATATAACACTTAACAACCTGGTCCGGGTTGTTCAATACAGGGTTAAGGTAGCCCAGAATTAATGCAAAATATGTATGCAGATATAAAAGCTTAAAAAGCAAATTCAGATTCTTTTTATCAACTAGTAATACTGTGAAAGGTTTGAACCCAGGGGTCATATCATAAGTAGGTTTAGTTTGATCGTCCGGGCGAACACAGTCCTGAATAGGACGGTTGTTGATGACTTACCGTATTTATTCAAATAAGCGCCCAACATCGAATTAGCGCCCACCTCCAATAACCGCCCATCCTAAAGGCAGGAAAAGTTAATAAGCGCCCACCCTACCCCACCTCCCTCCCGACCCCACTCAAACTCAATAAAGCGCCCACCCCCACCCCACTCACTTCCCCCCGTGTCTGGCAGATCCTCCAAGTGCTTATAAACAATTATGCGCCATTTATAACTTACATCCGTGCATATCGACTTTCGGTCCATAATTTCGGTCAAACACAAGATTTCCTCTTTCATGGTCTGTGAGTTTTTTTTTGTTTGTTTAAGAGAGTAAAACGAGACAAAGAAATGAACATTTCAGTTTTGCTTTCAAACTTTCAAAACTGCTGCTCCAGAGAATATCAGTGAACACATACGAAACGCCTAAGAGTACTGAACTATGACTGTACAATGACTGTCACAAAATCAACCCAAGCGGCCCCTTTGGCGTCACCAGTACCCAGCGATTCCGCGCGGCGTGTTCAAGCAAATCGAGATATTTTCCTGGCATACTAACTGCTTATTTTAACAGTAAGTACTTTCTTTTATATACACGCGAGCTACTAGGATGCCTCCTCGGGGTATCGGCTTCTGGGCGAAATTCCTGCAGGGGCAACAATTTGATGATTGGGTTCTCTGACCGGAATAGAATTATACGAGAAAATGCTTTTGAACAAACGGAAAAGAAATCAGGATTAAAATTTAAAATGGGTTAGCGCTAATCGGCCTTCGAACAACCGGGACCTGCTCAAAGACATATGCATGGGTCAACTTCGGCGGTCCTCGTCAACGTTTGGCGGGTAAAGTGCACTCTGACGTCATAGCCCGTAAAAGGCTTTTTACCGGAAACAGTTTCATTCTTTGATGTTATTTGACCTGACAGTTGACCAAAGATTCCAGCGAAAACAAAGATGACTAAGGTCGGAACACATGCTAACACATAGACTACGAGCAAATTTACGCGCGTATATGAGGCAATGTATGAAAGGCCACGGGTAAACGTGAAAGTTGAGCGAGGTACATTATTAACGTGTAGGCGTGACCTTCGAAACATTGTCTCTATTTTATTTACGCGCGTAAAAGTTACTTGCGCACGCACGGAAAAATTACGCGATAGTGGAAATCCACCTTAAGTAGTGACACTGGCGTTCGTCGCTCTTTTTCGCCGTTAATACTTACTGCCAAATTCGTTGTATCGCGCTGCGCGTTTTGCAAGCTTCGAAGGAGTTTTGGGTTTTTTCTGTTCCGTCAATCGTCCTAGCGGACCTCGTAGGAAACACATGTTTACTTTAACGAGTTTAAAAGGTCATGGTTTGTGATTTGTGATTGGTGGATTTCGATCCGTTTGGTTTATTTACTGTGTTGCTTGACTTGTGATCGTCGTGTGTGGGGCTTTAGTCGGCTTTCTGATCTTTCTTAATCTTGTCACGTGCGAGAATAAAGCGATGTCTGCCTTCTTCCTTCGACAAAAATTCCACTCACCATCGCGATTTCCTTCGCCATTCTCAGTTTTGTTTTTGCGAGCGTGTTCAAATATTGGGATTTGCATTAACCCCGCCCCCACTCAAATGATTGACGGAATAGGAAAACCCAAAATCCCTTCGAAGTTTGCAAAACGCGCAGCGTGCTACAACGAATTTGGCAGTAAAGCCCCAATATCAACAAATTCTGCAGACTGATCTCTATTTCCCTAAAAGTATTTTCCCTTTGGTGAGCATTTTATGAATTCTCACAACCCTTTCTTTTGATTATGTACTGTTGTTGTTAGGAGAAAATTTATGTTGGTCACTATTGGGGCCTAAAGGGTTCAAAGGTCAACTTGTTGTAACTTGTGTTAGGGCCTGTTTATATGGAGGTGGAGGACCCCTGGACCCAGTTGTTTAAATGCTGGATAGCACTATCCGAACAAGAAGTGATTTTGAAAAGCATTTAACTATAAAAAATTGCGATAAAACGTTTCTTAAAATCATTTTAAGATTAAAAAATTGCTAAAAAGCGACGACGTTTCGACGTTAGCTGAACGTCATTATCAAGTCAAAATAAGTTAGTGATTTTTGGTCTATAAATACTAAAAAAAAACAACAATAGCTGATTTAATATTTTCTCACGTTACAATTTTTTAATCAGCTATTGTTTTTTTTTTTTAGTATTTATAGACCAAAAATCACTAACTTATTTTGACTTGATAATGACGTTCAGCTAACGTCGAAACGTCGTCGCTTTTTAGCAATTTTTAAATCTTAAAATGATTTTAAGAAATGTTTTATCGCAATTTTTTATAGTTAGATAGCACTATCCACCGGGTAAATCACTATCTAATGGATAAGTGTTAGCGAAATTAATTGTGCTATGCAGTGGATATTGAGTTATCCGGTGGATAGCGTTATCCACCCTTTGAACAACTGGGGCCAGGTAGGTGAGGTAACATGTAGCGGGTCATTCCGTCTATCATGTAAACGCGATCAAATTAAAATGAGAGATTGAATGGACTGGCGGGTTACCGCACCCCCATGTAAACAGGTCTTAAGTTGGAGAAGAAATGAAAGTCATTTCACACTTGGTATTTTACTTGGCATTTTACAGCGTCACAGAAAATATTTAGACTTTTATATTCAAATTTTCGACGTTTTCTTTCTTTTCAGGAGGCAGCTTCACCAGACACTGGAAAGAGGGCGAGAGCAATTTATGATTATCAAGCAGGTAAATGGCCAGAGACACACTGGTTCCGTTCATGACAAACATAAGTGTTTTAGGGTGTGTAGGTTTAAATTCTAATAGGTCAAAGGTGTTGTGATATTGATAGTACTATCATCATTAGTCGAATAGTTGAACATTTTCAGATTTTCAGTTTCTGTGAAGACAAAGTGATAGCCCAGAAATTATTGGAGGAGTTTTGTAAAACCAAAAGCATTTTGTAAAAAGAGGGGTTCAGATGAAGGGAATAAGTAGCTACTGGAATAATTCGAGTCGCTTGTGCAAATTTGCAAGGGACACCATAGTCATTCGTACAAGAGAGGTCGGAGAAAAGATTAAAAGGTAGGCAAATATTGCTATACATCGCTAATTTAATCATAAGTGTGCGAGCTTTGTTGTTGCTTTATTAATCTGCTTGTGTAAACCGTCTTGGTATTTTGTGTCCGTAATTGTTGAATTTTGTTAATTTGTGTCACGGGCCGTGTTGCGAGATCGCCATCTTCTTTACAGGACCCCTAAGGGGATAAAAAATTAATTCCTTTTTTCTCTAAAATAGGCAACGTCTTAGTCTCCAGAACAGGAGGTTCGATTCAGAGGTCACACACGTTTATATTCTATAATTGGTTTCTCTAGTGATATCATAAGGCTACCAAAGATGAAAAAAGATTTCTTCACCATATTAGCTCTTAGCTGTGTGTTCCCTGATTAACTCCCCTCATTTGTACAAAAATAATATTTCATCTTACTGTGAGTGGACGCCTATGTGTCGTCTATAGCTAGTTCAAGAATTATTTTCCCTAGTGATATCGTATCTTTGGAGAAAATAATTCTTGAACTAGATGTTGCATGGGCGTCCACTCACAGTATGATAAAATATTCTAATTGCTCAAACAAAGGGTGGCTATCAGAACGGCGTCCATTTTGAACTAACTGTATCACGTGACCAATCGATTTTGGTAATGTAGATCAAACGCAAGGCATGATGGGATATTTGCAAAATCCTCCTTTGCTTCAATGGAGACAATTATATTCAGTAGTTTAAAAACATGGCCGTTTTGTCCATTTTCTCTTTCCGCAGATGGTGAAGATGAAATTTCCTTTGATCCTGACGACATCATTGAAGATATTGATGAAGTGGATGAGGGATGGTGGATGGGGACTTGTCATGGCCAACGTGGGTTATTCCCCGCTAATTATGTAGAACTGATATGAGAATGATATGATTGAGTAAAACAGTCACCCCGGGGAAGTTCACAATCCAGGACCAGAGTTAAAACTTTCATGTGATTTTGCTTTCGGCCTTAATAAGGATCTTGGAGATAAAACTAAATGAAAGTTAATAACTATGGTTGATACCTTGAAAAATGTAGCGAAACAGCTTTCGTAAATAAACTGCAAATCAAACTGTTTGATCTGCAGTGTTCTTTGCAAACATTGATCCTTCTTCTCAAAAGACAAAAAGGTATTAAATTGAAGTAAAATAGAATGCTGGAAGTGCCAGCGCAGGTGACTTATGTTAATGATCACCTTATAGGTTTTCATCTTGACACTCAAACGCCCTAGGGGTGCTCGTCGGGAAATTAGAATTAGATCAAACTGGGCGTGGTAGGCCAGGCGTTATTGGCTTGCAAAGGAGACCATACTTTAACACAATATGACAGCATTTTACGTAGATATTTTTCCATGCGGCAAGTGATAACTTTATGGCAAAAATACAGGAATTTCGGTCAGTCCAAAATCCGGAAATTCTTCCCTTAAGCGAAACGACGAGCATTCGGGTCACTAAGGGAATCCATGACGTGCCTCTCGGAGTAAAAGGCTACGAACTCTTAATTTTTGTAAAGGAAGCCCGTCATCGATGGTGGAATAGTTACTATACCGTAATAATTTTATACAATAAGGCAGTATTTCTATGTATAATTCATGATGCAACAATACATGTGGCTTTCCGCGAAGAACTATAGTTAGTTTACTTCTCAGTAACTTATAGTACCGTGTGGCAATAAATTTTTGCGGATGGCGATTTTTTTTTAAGGGACTTTTTTTTTGGTTTTTCTTGCTGGGAATTAATCTGCGATTTCCAGATAGTCCCGGACAAATCATTGATTATATTTCGTTTTTATTGAGAACGTGCAATTGCAATACATATTCTCAAACAATACTACGGTGTGCGTACGCTAGTAAAACCAGCAAAACAGATTTCTTTTTGATAACAAATACCCCGTAAAAATTTCGTGCCACACGGTATAAAACATTTCTTCTGCAATTGTGATAGTAATTATGAAAAATACCCATCGTCTATTGGCGAAATTCTTTTATAATGGTTTTAGACAAATACAAAAGCTCGTTTACAGATGAAAAATATTAACTTGCATTAACCTCCACTGTGTAAGAGTTATTAATGTTTGTAATAAAATAAGAGCGTCAGTGATCAGGTTTGTTCGTTTCCTTGCCGTGAGGTTGACCTAACTGGCCACAGCTAGTTTTACTACAGGTGCTGGGCTATCTCTTACCATACAGAAGCATAGAGGAAAAAAATCACATTTTGACTCAAAATCATGGGTTAACCCCTTTGGAAAAAAAGAGAAGCGACAACCGGAAATTAATGCTACGTTAGCAGGCTGTTACAACACTTTTCTAGCAGCATCTTGCGATTCTTAAAGGCTGTATCTAAGGTCAGAAAAAATTGAATGATAATACAGTTGTCTTGGGTTCACGTCCACAGTCCATAAAACGTGAAAAGGTCCATTATCCTTTCCTCATTAGGCATTAAGGTATGGGACAAGCGATTTCTGTCACGCTTACCTAAAGTCCCCCTAGTCCGGACCAGGGGGCCCGTTTCTCGAAAGTCCCGATAATTAAAGAAGCCGGTAAGCTGTCTCCCTTTACCTTAAAGATCGAGGTCTCAATAGTTTTGCATCTAACATAATAAAACTATCACGTAATAAAAAAAAAAAAAAAAAAATGGAGTAGTTTGCTAGCCAGGACCCGTGCTCTTATTCTCTACATTTCGATTTGAATATTTGATTTCGGGCCCAAAAAGTTGCCGGAACTTTCGAGAAACGGGCCCCTGGTCCAGTTATCTGCACGCAGTTACATCCAACCAAACATCCCCAATCCCGAATCCCCAGCCCTAAACTGGTCCAAGTCCCCATATCCTAACATAACAATTATCTCAGACACAAAAGAATGAGATTATGAGTTTCATTTTTTGAAGGTCTTAAGCCGGGCCTTAAGCCAAAAATTTGAAATTTGTCATAAGTTTTTTTTTTTAATAAGCCTATATTATATTAGAGTGACTTAGTTAGATTGAAATAGGTAGTAGAATAATACGCAACAATTATGCACTAATTCCATTGTCCTCTTTTGTTTATTTGTGGCTATTTTGGACTTGTTGTTACTATCTGTTTCACGTTTCAAGTAAACTCATTCAGAGATCGCATTAACGCAGAAATCGTGTTTTTTTACGCAAACAAAATGCAAAAAATGCATCATCAAAATTTTAATGCTTCATGTAAGAGGGGGTTTTCTTGCCAAAACAGAAACAAGACGGGCCTTAGAAACAGAGTGTGAGAGCAAAACTTAGAGAAACTTATGAAAGTTGCAATTGAGGGGGCCCTGCTTGCAGAATTTGATTTTGAGAGAGCCAAGCAGATCTTTAAAGGGCACCGTCATCGTAGAAAATAGTGACACCTTTAATATGCTTTACATTGACTATGCTATTCTGTTCATCTCTGACAAAAATTAATCACACATCGGTCAAAAGCTGGGTTGTCAATAGAGTGTTTTCACATGACGTCACGGCGGCCATATTGGTGTCCCAAAACAACGAAACGGCGGCCAAGTTGATGTCCCAAACCAGTCCTGTGGGAGTTGAACTCTCTTCTTACGCAAACGCTTTCTTTTGTTCCAATAAATTTGCATAGATACTGTTTAGATACTGGCCAAGTGAGTGAAAACACTCTATACTTTAATGTAATGATAAGGTTGGGTAAATACAATTAAGAATTCATTGCATTGTCTAAAGTTAATGTTTTCAACAAAAAAAGACAATAAAGCATAATTAACAGTATGACAGTAATTTGCGAGTCACTCTTTCTCATAACAACGACAAAAAGAATTTCTTAGGGGAGGGTCACCAAGATTTTGGGACCCATCCAAAATGCTTGGGACCCCAATTTGACCGGAAATGTGGGTCCAAGGACCCAGATTGAAAAATCCTAGTGTTATCCCTGAAAATCACCCTATTTGATGATGTTTTAGATACAAAGCAAGGTTAGACTAAAAAAAAAAAGGTCATTTTGACATAGTCAACAACCCAAGATGTTATTCAAAAATTTAAAAATCCTTATTTTGACTTTCAAATTGGCCAAAGTTTATTATCTTATGATGTCCTAGATACAAAAGATAGCTCTTTAGACTGTAAACAGGTCATTTTAATAGTTTAAAAACTTGCATTTTTTCAGGGGTTTAACCGTTGGTTTTAGTCAAAAATTTAACGTTTCATAATTTTTCAACGGGGTTAACCCATGATTTTAACAAAAAACCTGAAATGTCTTGAGTTTGTTTTTCTTTAAAGGGGTCCTTAGCATATCGCTTAATAATGTTTTTAAACAAACCAAGGCTTTGTAGACTACAAAATTAAACCAAATTTTAACATAGCTGAAAAATTTGAATTTTTACAAAGGGCCTTGCTAGTCAAAAAATTCAAAATTTCTTGTAAGTTGGTTTTTCTTTGAAAAAGGCTTAGATATTTTGCTGGATAATGTTTTAGAAAGAAAACAAGGTTTCCTAGAATACACAAAGGACATTTTACCATAGACGAAAAATTTGCAATTTTTTAACCCATGATTTCAGTCAAAAATTTGAAATTTCTCGTGAGTTTCTTTTTCTCTAAAAAAGGCCAAGATACATAGGTGGATAATTTTTCAGAAAGAAAACAAGGCTTTCTAGAATACACAAAGGATATTTTAACACAGTTGAAAAATTTGCAATTTTCAAAGGGGTTAACCCATCATTTTAGTCACAAATCTGAAATTTCTTTTACTCCAAAAAAAGGCCTAGATGTATTGCTGAATAATGTTTTACAAAGAAAACAAAGCTTTCTAGAATACAAAAGGATCTTTTAACACAGTTGAAAAACTTGCAGTTTTCAAAGGGGTTAACCCTTCATTTTAGTCACAAATATGAAAATTCTTGTGAGTTTCTTTTTCTCCAAAAAAAGGCCTAGATATATTACTGGATAATGTTTTAAAAACAAAACAAGGCTTTCTAGAGTACACAAAGGACATTTTCACACAGTCAAAAAATTTGCAATTTCCTAAAGGGGTCAACCGGCCACTTAAGTTGCAAATTTAAAATTTCTTGTGAGTTTCTTTTTCTCTAAAAAAAAGGCCTACATATATTGCTAGATAATGAGTTAAAAACAAAACAAGGCTTTGTATAGTACACAATGGACATTTTAACACAGTCGAAAAATTTCCAATTTTCCAAGGGGTTAACCCATTATTTTAGTCACAAATTTGAAAATTCTTCCGAGTGTCTTTTTCTCTAAAAAAAAGGCCTAGACATATTGCTGGATAATGTTTTAGGAAGAAAACATGGCTTTCTAGAGTACACAAAGGACATTTTAAAACAGTAGATTAATTTGCAATTTCAAAAGGACATTTTAATTTTAAAACAGTAGATTTTTTTTCTAAAAAGGTCTACGTAATTTGGATAATGTTTTGCAAAGAAAAAAAGGGTTAGGACATCATTTTAATCGAAAAACAAATTTGAAAATTCTTGTCATTTTTCAAATTTGGCTCTAAAAAAGGTCTACGTATATTGCTGGATAATGTTTTGCAAAGAAAACAAGGCTTTCTAGGGTACATAAAGGACATCAATTTTTAACATGGTCGAAAAATTTGCAATTTTCAAAGGAGTTAACCCATCATTTTAGTCACAAATTTGGCTTTTCCTCTAAAAAAAAGGCCTAGATATATTACTGGATAATGTTTTAGAAAGAAAACAAGGCTGTCTAGAGTACACGAAAAACAGTTTAACATAGTTGAAAAATTTGCAATTTTCCAAAGGGGTTAACCCATCATTTTAGTCACAAATTTGAAATTTCTCGTGAGTTTCTTTTTGTTGAAAAAAAGGCCTAGATGTATTGCTGGATAATGTTTTACAAAGAAAACAAGGCTTTCTAGGGTACACAAAGGACATTTTAACACAGTTGATCAATTTGCAATTTTCCCACGGGGGTTAACCCATGATTTTGGTCATAAATTTGAAATCTCTTTTTCTCTAAAAAAGGCCTAGATATATTGCTGGATAATGAGGCTTTCCACAGTACACAAAGGACATTTCAACAGAGTAAAAAAAATTGCAGTTTTCCAAGGGGTTAACCCATCATTTTAGTCGCAAAATTGAAATCTCTTGTGAGTTTCTTTTTCTCTAAAAAAAGGGGCCCATATATATTGCTGGATAATGTTTTAGAAAGAAAACAAGGTTTTCTAGAGTACACAAAGGACATTTTAACATAGTCGAAAAACTTGCAATTTTTGCAAAGGGGTTAACCTGTGATTTTAGTCACAACTTAGAAATTTCTCTCGAGTTTCTTTTTCTTCAAAGAAAGGGATAGATATATTGCTGGATAAAGTTTTTGAAGGAAAACAAAGCTTTTTAGAGTACACAAAGGGCATTTTGATAAAGTCAAAAAATTGGGAATTTTGAAAGAGGTTACGCCATTATTTTAGTCACAAGTTTGAAATTTCTTGTGAGTTTCTTTTTTTTCAAAAAAAAGGAGCAGATATATTGCTTGATAATGTTTTAGAAAGAAAACAAGGCTTTCGAGAGCAAAAAAGGACGTTATAACATAGTAGAAAAATTTACTTCTTTTAATGATTTTAGTAAAAAAACAGGCCGCAGGGCTTAAAATTAACCCTCGCAAACTCGCAAAATGCAAGTGATTTGATGATCTGTGAGTGAGAAAAATATCCACTAGCAAATGTTTGTGAGTTAGAATCATCCATGTCTCCCAACAAACGGAAAGAAATTGCTAGTGGGCTCACCAGTTTGCTCCTGGAAAAAAAATCTTACCAGCAAAACTTTGTAAGTGCACTAAAAAGTTAACTTCGAGCCCTGTAGTGCTATCCAGCCTTGGAACAACCGTGACCTGGATATGTTACTCGATCATGTTTTTAGTTAATTTAGAAACAAAACAATGCTTTGTAAACTGAAAAATGGTCACTTTGACATAATTGCATTTTTCCAAAGGGGTTAACCCCTGATTTTAGTAAGAAAATTTACAAGCTAATAAAAAAGGAACATTCTATCATAGCCAAAACATTTGTATTTTCTGCAAGGGATTAACCAAAAATGTTAAATTTTTAGTCTCAACAGTCTCTTTTTGGAGAAGATGATCAAAAAGTTCTAATAATAGTTATT